TCACTCTCCTTTTTAAAAACCATTTATTATTATTCCATTATATGAATTTGTCATAATTTATTTAACTGGTCTTAGGTCAATGGACATCAATATTTTTGCTATTACAAACTGTGCTTCCATTAATAATTTTGAATTCATGTTGTTATTTCTAAGAACCATATGTTTTTACTTTCCCATGAACTGTCTATTGCTGTCTTTCATCCATTTTCCTATTGGGTTATTAATTTTTTTGTTATTCATAGGACCTCTTTATATGTTATGAAACTTGCCTTTTCTGTGATTGAGATGCAGTTTTTTTCCAGTTTGTCATTTGGCTTTTTACTTCCTATGATTATATTTCTTATTTTCATAAAGTCAAATGTATTGATTTGTAAGGCTTTTTCTGTAAGGCTCCTAAATTTTGTGTTGCAGTTAAGAGCGTTCTCCACTTCAGGGTTATAAAAGGATCCAAGAGATTCTTCCAGTACTTTTGTGGTTTCCTTTTTCTATTTAAATCCTTGATCCATTTGTTTTCTAGGTGTAAGATATGATGTATGGATTTAACTAATTTCCTTCCTTCGTCATAGAGGCTTTGTAGCTGTCTCAAACTGTTTACTGAATGAAATCTAACTTATCTTCACCAATTTGAAATACCACCTTTATCAAATACTAAATGTGTACATGTGTTTAGGTCTGCTTGGGAATTTCTCTTCTCTTTCACTGATTTGTGGAACTAATCAGGCACTAGTACCTAACAGTTTTAATTAGTCAGGCTTTATAATATGTTTACTACTTGGTCAGACATTTTCAGAAATGTTTACTTGTTCATTTTTCCATAAGAATTTAGACATGGCACATCTACTTCCAAAATGAAATCCTGTTTATGTTTTTATTAGGATCTCGTTAAACGTCTGAGTCTTGCTAATGATGCAGTCTTGCTAGGCAGGAACATAGCTTTTGTTACTGTTTATTCAAGTCTTTTTCTGCATCCTTCTGTAGAATTAAAATTTTTTCTTCACATAGATTGGGAATCATTAATGTTTGTTCTTCAGATTTTTTCTTTCTTTTTTTACTGCTTTGTAAATGGGGTCTCCCATTGTATCTTATAACTGTTGTTTCCTTAAGATTCTGAAATAGAGATCTATTGAAAACTGTTCCTAGGGGAACAGTATATGTCAAATAATCTTGAGAATCACTCATCTAGACTAGTAAGTCATTCTCAACCTTGCAACATATACTATAGGTGACTTTGACATACACCAGTCAATCCTGTGGGTGTTTCCTGTTTTTTAGGGACTCCAACAGAGATAAGAGAGGCTGTGGTTCTTCAACAGTTGATGGAAATTTATGTGTACCAGGCACCATCAGGTGCCAGGGACACCATGGTGACCAAGATGGTCTTAGTCTCTGCGCTCATGGAAGTTGGTCACATAGTCCCAGCCAAACAGAGCAAACTCAGCACATAATTGAATAAGAGTGTAAAGTTCTCTAAGGGGCTATGAGGGTGAGCAGAGATGATTAACAAGTGTCAACATCTGCTACCATCCACACCTACGGCTTCAGTTACCGCTCAGATGCTACTCACTCACACATTGTGCCTCTTGTCCTGCGTTTCCTTTGAGCTCCAGACCTGCCATCTCCACTCCCCCGTCAGGAGATAGAAATTCCCCCACCCTTGGATCTGGACAGGCCCGTGTCTCACCTGTGGCTAATAACCTACAGTGAATGTGGCTCTGCGTGATGTCCAAGGCTAGGTCACACGCAGTGCAGCTCTGCCTTGGGCTCTGGGATACCCACTCTGGAAGCCTTCAGCTGTGTAAACACTGTGACAGCCCTGAGGCTGCCATGCTGCGAGGAGGTTCCAAGTAGCCCATGCAGAGACCATATAGTCTCTAAGGCCTTTATGAAGAGCGGCCCGGCCAGGCACCCGGTGCTCCATCCCTCAGAGGTCCAGCTCCACAGGGGAGACTCCAGGTTAGAAGAGCCTAGCCACATTTGTGAATTCCTGCCCCACAGAACTATGAGAGATGATAACATGATTGCTGTTCTCATGGGCTACTAAATTTGGGAGTCTTTGTTTTGTAGCAATAGTAGGACCTGGGCCATGTGATTTTGTACATGTTTTTCCCCCTACTTGGAATACTTCCTGTACCTCTTTTGCCTAGTTACCACCTACATATGTTCCAGATCTTTGCTAAAGCTACAGTGCTTCAGGATGCTGTCCCTAAACCCTGAAACTAGTGTTTCATAAAGCCCTCGTAACACCTTGCTTCCTGTACTTATTAGCTGCACCTTTGGAGATTTTTTGACCCAGTCTGTCTTTCTGACAAGTCTTCAGCTCCACAGACCAGCATTCAGTCCATGCAGTTACACAGTAGGCCCGACATTGTAAACTCAAATGTCAACAGGAAGAGGAGAGTCACAGACAGGGTGAAGACTATAACGAAATGCACGTGCCCGTCTAGAGTTCACAGCAGCCACTCAGCAGGCTTTGTGCAGCCAAATCTGCCTCATTTCTAAAGAGATGATGCAAACCCAGATTATTATGTAAGTGTTAGAATGATAGCAGCTAATTAAAACTAAAAACACAGAAGAAAAAGAAAGAAAAACAACAGCCTGAAGACCGAATACTCCTTTTTTTTTTTTGGAGAACAATTCTGAAGTCTCAATTTGTGTAACCAAGGAATTGTATTTGAGGCATAAATTAGCCGTGGGCCGGGATTTAGGAATGGACTGTTTAGATTTGTTTTTCTCTGTACCTCAAGACTGTCAGTCCAATTATCTTCTAACAGCCTGAAGACTTGACTCCTGCTAAATAATAAAGGAATCATTTGTTTTTCTTTAGGAAGCAGATAGAAGTAAATTGTGACCAGTAAGTAAGTTATACTGAATTCTGTGTGTACCTTCCCAGAAGATAAATTATATGTATTTGTACTGAAAGTTTCTGTGATGACTGCCCTTGTACTATTCACCATGTAAGAACTTATTCACTATGTAAGAACTTGTTCACCATGTAAGAACTTGTTCGTTATGCTTCAGAAGATTGGAGACTGACGAGAATTAGGCTTGGGGTGTATTAATGATTGTGCATTGAACACTGAGTCCCCTATACAGAATTTTATTGTTAACCATTTGATCAATAAATATGAGAGATGCCCTCTCAAAAAAAATTATATGTATTTGTAATAAGGAATGGGAACATGCAAAGCTCATAAAAGCCCTGTGAGAAGTTGGTGTTTATCTAAAAATTATACTTCTTGTTATTTAATTTATTTATTTAAAAATAGAAAAAGAGCTATCAAGCCATGAAAAGACATGGAGAAACCTTAAATGCATATTCTTATGAAAGTGAAAGAAGCCCATCTGAAAAGGCTACAGACAGTATGATTCCAATTATATGACATTCTGGAAAACAGAAAACAGTAGAGATCCTAAAAAGATCAGTGGTTGCCTGGGGCTGGGGGAAGAGGGGAGGAGGCAGGGCTGTAAAACACGTGACCCCGGGTGATCAGTCACTATCTAGAGCAGATGGTAGCCTCCCCTGCTCACAACAGCACACTGAGGGCCTCACAACACTAAGGACACAGTCTCATCACTTTTCAGGTGGGGAAGATGAGACAGGGTATTAAGCGCTACTAATTCGTATAAGCCCTGGGTAAGATAGGAAATTGTTCTTATTTAACTAAGGGGGAAACTGAGAACCAGCTGTATGGTGGTCCAAGTCATAGAGTAAAATATAAAGTCTGGACTAAAAAAAACGATGGTTCTCTCTTGGAAGGAGGGAAGAAAGTTGAGGCTGGAAGTTACAAGCCCATCACTTGGGCCCCCATGGGTGATAGTAAACATGGGCCAGAACACCCACCTACCTTTACACCTTTTAAAAGATTGATTATGCAGGGACCTCAGCTTGGAGTTCAGAGAAACCCCTCTATGTCTGCTTCTTTACCCAGGTGAGTATGGCATCCAGCCTACTTAGAAGTAAGAAAAAAACCTCGCCTTTAGCAGAGGGCTGGACAATATCTGAATGTTGCTTAGTACTGTCTAGGATGAGCACTAAAGGAAAAGTGAAAGCCCTTTAACTGTTCTTGATGTCCTGAAATTCAGTCTCATTGCATTTTACAAGAAGCAAAGTAAGAAGCCCTGGTCCAAAGCAGTGCTCTGTGGCTGGAGCAAAGACCCAAAGCTTGGTGGTTCAGAGAGGCCCCTTTAGCCACAGCATCTCTCATCATGAGTTTATGCAAACTGAACTAAATTACGTTGGCAAGAAAAGATTGAGCAATATTTAGATACTTATAAAGAGAAAGTAAACTTTTTAAATAGTGGGGAAGCAATCCAGAATGAGCAGGTGAGAGGAGCCTGGGCATCTGTGGTTCCTTCTTCATTCAGTGTTTCCCACACCTCTCACAATGTGTGCATTGTTTTTTTGCTGGGTGTGATTCTAGGGGTCCAAGATTTCGCCCATTCCCACAATATCCCAAAGCTGCTAGAAAACAATGAGTTTATCTAGAGCTGGACGAAATAAACAGCAATCTTGCACGTTTTGCCTTTTAAGTCATTATGAAAGTTACTGATTTTTTAAAGAATGTCTTCACCCCCACCAGAACGTAAGCTCCATGATGGCAGGCGTTTTTGTGTCTGTTCACCACTGTATTCTCAGCTTTGAAACAGGGCCTTGCTCATAGCAGGCGCTCCGTAAATATTTACAGAAGGAGGAATTAGGAGGAAAACAAGAAGCAGGAAGGCGGCAGAGGAAAGAACACGGCCCCGCCCCGCTTCCGGAACGGCTAGCCGCCCGCGACTCCCAGCAGGCCCCGGAGTCTAGGGCTGGCCGCGGCGAGTAGCCGGAACCAGGCCCCCAGCCCGCCAAAGCTCCCGGCGTGCCTTGCGAGGGCCGGCGCCGCTGCAGCGCCTGCCGGGACTTGTGGTCTGGGCCGCGAGTGGGGGTGGGGCCGAGCATGGAGGCGGGCGGGGGCCGGGGGCGGGCGCAGGCCCCTCCCCCGTCACTTCCTGCCGGGTTGCGGGCGCCGAAGCGGCTCCTCAGCGTTTGCGCCGGCGGTCGCAGCTTCTGGCTGGGCTTCCTTTTCCTTTGACTCTCGGCTCGGCGGCGCCAGCCTTCTTCGCGGTACTCCGCCTCATCCTTCCCGCCGTCCCTTCCTCGTCTCCCTTCTTCCTCCTTTCCCTCCTCGCCTCCGCCGCCACCGCCCAGACCGCCGGCCGGGGGGCGAGCTCGGGGCAGCAGCCAGGTGAGGCGGCCGGCCGGGCCTGGCGGGGCCCGCGAGGGAGTAGCGGCCGCGAGTTGGTGGGCGGCGGGTGGGGCCTAGGCTTCGACGGGCCCACGCGCCCGGCCTCCTTCCCCGGGCCTCCCGCCCGCGGGGCCTTCCCGGAGGAGGCGGATCCTCCCGCGCCCCCCGCCTCGGGGCGGCGCGCGGCCTGGACCCCAGACACTCCCAACCCTTCAGCTCTTGCTGGGGCCTGAAACAGGTGCCAGGCCGCCTTCCCTCATTCCTTCTCGCGGGCGGGCATGCCGAAGTTATTCCTGGGGTATGGGGTTCTCGGAGCTGAAATCCAGAGCATGTAAATCCCGCCTGCCGGGTTTGTAACATACTGGTTATGAGCACGGCCCAGGTGTCCAGTGCGGGTACAAATCCCAGTCTACCCCCTTGGGCAAGTCACTTAGACTCTTTGTGTCTTGATTGGAAAAGGGAGCTAAGTGCAGTCTTTGCCACCTCAGGCTGTTAAGGTTCAGTGAAATGGGACGTTTGAAGCGCTTACCAGAAAGCCAGACCCACAGCGTGTCCCAAATAAGCCGTCTGCATAATTTATTAGCGAGATATTAAGGTATAACTTTATGGGTAGTGGACACAAGTTGACCTACCTACCCATTTGGGTTTCCTTAGAGGCAGAAATGTTCAGTATGCCCTCTGGCAGCACCGGGGCATTGTTTTGGGTTGTTAACGTCTGAAAGGGGCGTACGTTTAATTGGGACGTTCTGTAAGTAGCAGTCTGTGAAAGATAGATGCTGTTATATCCATCTCCTCCGCTGAGCAAACTGCAAGATTTTCACCAACTCTCAGTATGAGCAACGTGTCCATTTTTTTTCTGCCATCGTCCGGCTTATTGTCATTCCATTTCTGGAAAAGTTGCTGGCAGAAGCTTTCCTTGAGTTCAGCAAAAACCTTTCTGTGTGCCAGGCTCTGGAGAGGGGTGTACGAAGCTGGAAAAATAAGTCTGTGCTTTCTTGCGCCGCATCTCTAACTTGTAATTTTTTTTTACTGCGGCTTTGCTTTTATTCCCTTCGTCCCTGTTGGCCGACTTTCATTTTAAGCACTTGCCCCACCTCCGTATTTCTTCTGTGGAAGTTTTCTTGTGTTTCGGCGAAGATGTGTGTTTCAGTCTGTTCTGCGTCTGTTCTCTGGCTGTGGGGACGTTTTTGAGGTTTATCTTCCCTTCTGCTTGATGCTTTAGTTGTTTAGATGGTGGTGGAAAGAGAGTTAAACCAGGTTTTTGGTCTTTGAGGAATCATCATACTTACCAAATGTAAGTTACATTGCTGCTTGTTGAAGTAAAAATTAAAAATACAGTTGGATTGTAGAAGGAGCAGTTTTCAGTTGTCCTGTTGACAGGTGGGATTTTTAAAACAGCAACTTAATGTAAGGGTATTGAATTTCTTTTAATTCTGTGCTGCTTCGTATAGGTGTACCCTTTATTAAGGAAATGTATTTATTGAGGTTCAGATTTACAAGAGTAATAAGTGTGTGTTTGCTGTACTGAATAAACCTCCTTGTATCATAGGATTGTTTTAAGTAGTAAATTTTGATTTATACCCATCTCTCAGTAATACACATGATGCAAAATGGCCTCCCTGTTTTGACATTTTCCTAGAATTTTCTGACAGTCTTACCATCATTTCTAGTTGAAAAAATATTTTGATAACTCTTTAAAAACATTTAGGCAAACAAGTATGCAAGAAGTACAAAGCACATCTTCTGCCATATCGAAAGTGTATTTCAGGGAAATGATGTTTTAATATTGCAGTAGATAACCTAAAACATACAAAAGTCAGACAGTATAGAGAACCCCCATGTCTTGGTCATCAAGCTTTGACAATAATTAACTCATAGTTAAGGTCAGTCTTGTTTCATGTAATACGCCCTCCCCCAAACTGGGTTATTTTGAAACAAATCCTTAACATCATATAGTTTTACCAGATGGCCCCAGACTGTTAATGTGTCGCAAAATATACTTTTAGGGCAATCATAATTCTCATTTTGTTTGGCTTCTCATCTGTGTTTATACATGATTACTGCAGGGGGGAAAAAAAGACCAGCGGCTTAGCTGTTTAGTGCTTACCCCCCTCAAAGTCATATCTAAAATACTGCCTTGCTTCTTTGTGTACAAAAGCAACAGTTCTTGAGCTATTAGTGACTGTAATTCAAAAGCAATAAAAAATACAGATATCCCTAATCCTGTTTTGGTGGAGAGTTACTGTTAAACCACTTTTGATGGAGAATAGCTTTGTGTTAAAGTTAAACTACAGTTAATAATTCATAGTGAAACTTTCAAAAGTTTCTTTACAGTAGTTGTGTAAATATGCTATCACCTTAGGTTAAGAATTAAGCAAAGGAAATAATAAACTGACTGTGTACATGGCTGAAGATCTTGGGGGAAAAAAAGCAAAGGATATTTGATTTCAAAACTCTCTGTTGAATTATTTTCCACAGGAACATCCTCCACCAGCCACCCCCAACACCATCTGCTGTATTTACAAACAAATTTAGTAAGTTTGAATAAATTCACAACATAGATGGTCATGTTTTCCTTTCTTGTCTAAAAAGAGCTTTCTCCTGGAATGGCAGTTGACAGGAATATTTGTTGTCATTATTTTTCAGATTTCTGGTCATGAACAGTTTCCAGCTTTTAGACCTGTAAACTTGTTATTTTTAAAATGTATAGACTTACTTTTGAATTTAATCAGGTACAGTGAAAATGTCTGTTATGTTTTAGTTAATACAGCCATGGAGATGGGGTGGAATATATATCTCTCTTAAAATTAGGGGGTGGGGGAGACCCAGTTTGGTATCTAAGAAAGGACACGAAATGTACTTTATTTAAAAAAAATGCTTAGTGCTTCCCAGTATGCTTAAAGTAAAACTTTTAAGTATTTAGACTTGTTACCATATATATGGTTTGTTCATACTAAATTGCTCTCTTTTCAGATTAAGCCATAAAGCCCTTTTGTATACAGATTATTTTAAGTTTAGAAATGAGCATGACTCATGTAACTTCCCGCCACTCATTAGCATTATTCTGGGTGTAATCATTAAACATGAGGCTATACTGTACTACTTCATCCAGAGACTCTGCCCAGTAAGACAGCAAAAATATTTAATATAGGAGACAATAGAGTGGGTCTCAGCTTGTAGTGCAACTTTCTCTGATGCCTTTTTACTGGATGGAGAGTGAAAGTCATCAGCGTAAAAGTGAACCTTTCATGAAAAAGGTGTCTATTTATGAGATGTCATGTCAGTTCCAGGGCCTTTATTTTTGTGACCCTCCAAATTGGATCATCTTATTTAATGTCCTACTTAACGTGTACAGAATTGCTTGATTTGAGGGAATTGTAAGTTCCTCAAAATGAGCTTTTGAGGTTTCTTTCTCAGAGTGGGATTTTGAAGCCTTCAGAAATGTTCAGAGAATTTTATGATACTAGACCTATAACAGATTGTCATAAGTTACAACTTGAGATGATAGAGACCTTTGTGCTTAAAGTGGTTCTGGGGTAGTTTTCTATGTTGAGTTTTTCCTTAAATAAAACCTCATCAAAATTAAGGCTGTAGCATTTATGCCATTCCAAAAAATGTAATTTTTGGAGATTAAATTATGAGAAGACATGTTAGTTGCTATGGTTATTTCTCCCCAGCATTTCAGTATGAAGAACTGCTCAACGTACAACAAAGTTTAAAGAATTTTAGTGTACACCTCTGTATCTACCACCTATGTCTGCCATTAACACTTTACTATGTCAATATTTTCTTCATCTGTCCTTTCCTTTAATTTAGCAATCCATTTCATTTTTTGGTACATTTCAAAGTAGATTACAACATCAGTACATTGAATAAATACTTAAACATGTTTTTTACCATAGTTAATTTTAAATTGAGGTAGGTCTGTCAGGTATTCCTAGATCTTTAAGAGCCAAGAGCCTTGTTGATTTTTGTTTCCAAATTTGCTTTGACTCCAAAACTTTCCATTTATTAAAGGATATTGTGTAATGAATTTTTATATCAAGGAGTCCTTGCTTATCTATGAGGTATTAGGAAGCTTGAATAACATTGACCAAATTGTTTGTTCTCACCTACTAAGGAGGTGGTAATAGAGTTATAAATATGTAGCTATGTTGATCTTAACAAATGTCACCAAATTGGATGGCTTGGATTAAGCTGACAATTTAATGCCCTGAGCTAAGAAAAAACCTTACCAAAGAAAATTGTTATTTAAAAAGCGGTAAAGTGGAGAAATTATTGCAAATAGCTTAATTAATTTTTAAAATATTTATATTCCTTAATAATGAGTAAGGTTGCTGTAAAGGTGATTTATTTATATCACTAGATAAGTGGAGGTAAAAAGTTTTCTGAAGTTAGGACACATGTTCATTTATTTGTTAAAGGAGGAGTATATTCAGGGGGCTCTCAGTATATTTACTGCAAGCAGAAGTTGAAAAATCTATCCGAGACAGTATTTACTTTCAATTAAAAATTAAATATTAAATCTGTAGCCCATCTGCTTCTGTTTAATCTGGAATCTAATTTGGGAGAGAAGTGTGATGACTTTGTGACTTTATAATAGTAATTGAAGTAAAATAGACCATTTTATTATAATAAAGATGTCATAATTGTTCTAGAAGATTTTTGTTAACGCTACCAGATTATAAAGTCTAAGAAAATCTATTTAGGTCCCCTGGGATCTTTTACCTAAATGAAAATGATTGCTCATCAGATAGTCTCTATATTTGATGTAGGTTTAGAACTGGTTGCTGCCCAGTAGTGGGCTGATTTTAGTCAGCATGTTCTGTATTCCCATATAAAAGGTTTTTTACAAATGGTGTGTTGCTATAAGTTTATATTTATAGATGTTTATGTGGCTAAGGACAGGATTAGTGAATTTGCTGGATAATGAGATTTGCTACTATTTATTGAGCTCTTAACATGTTGGTTAAGATTACAGGGTGAGAGTTATTTTGATGCAAGAAAGGAATCTTAAAGGTCAGATTGAATTTTTCTAATAATATAAAAGCTGCTGTTCATTGAGCTCTTCCTTTGTCCCAAGGTTGAGGTAAGATGCCTTATGTTGTTATTGCTGATACTTGGAAACATCTTTGCAGAGGAGTCATGAATAGCTGGGGATATTGAGGCCCATCTGCGTGGCTAAGTAACTGGAGCCAGGGTCCTGAGTTCTTTCTGCTGCACCACACTTTGTCTCTGTGCTCAGGTGCTTTTGTTTAGGGTTATTGGTTTTGTGTATCCCCAGTGCCAGCACTCCTCCACCCAACACGCTAGTAAATTTTGTTCACTAGTACTTTAGACCAGAAAAAGTCTGGGTCAGTAATACTCAGTTTTTTAAAATGAACCCTGTTTGTGATTCCCTTGAAATTATTTGAAGATTTACAGTTTACTTTTGTTTGTTGTGTTAGATTGCTGCGGTCAAATTGCTGCTAAAATTCTAAGCTGATTCAATGGTTTGTTGTGGGGTAACATAGAAGTAATGGACAAGATGTTTCGTTAACCTTTGTGTTGTAGAACCTGTCCCCTAAATTATTGGTATAATCCTTCATGAAGTTAAAAATGATTTATTCATGATAGACAAGGTTGTTGCTAAGAAAATTAATTTATTTAGAATTATAATACTCTTGTTTTATCGGATATGAGTTAACTTCAGATTAACTTTATACATAGGGTTAGGTGGCAGTTGCCCTCTTTGCTTCCCAGCCATTTCTAACATCCATTTCCTGGCTAATGGTATTGGGACAATTCAGTTTAACTTTCTGTTTGGTATTAAACTGCCTCCTGAACAACCTCTTTTACTTTATTTGAATTGATGGTCTCCTGAATAAGAAGTGTCTTTGGTCCTTCATCTCATGGCTAGTCTTAAAAGCATATATGAAATTAAGCCTGCTTTCGGGTTTGTGGTTTTAGTGAGAATGGTGTGTGAGTTTCCATTTCGTGTTTAACCTCAACTGAGGGGACTGCCTGGTCTGTAATGATATGGGTGTGTCTCATTAATCTTGAAAAGGTGTTGGAAATGTATGTGTCTTTTCTATGGGTGGAGTGAACAGATAGTGCTTCTTAAATTGGTACAATATTGGCTCCCTGTAAGTATGAGCTTTATGATGTAACTGGATCTTGTTTGATCCTCCCATTTTTGCTTTGTTAGAGTTCGTGCTTGCTATAGATTAAAATTAACTGAGGCATGAATTTTCTGCTCTTGCAGATTCCACCCTGATGAAAATAAGGCCTTTGTCTGCTGATGCCATTGTGATTTTGTACAAAATCCTCGGCAGCCCTTCCCTCTGTCAGAAAGAAGATAATTTTTATGTATTAAGTTTGATTATTTCTTGGAGACTTAGATTCTTTGTTGCACAATTTAGCCAATTTGTTCATTTAAGTTCTGTGACCCTTGATGACTGTCAAATATAGTTAGGTAAATAAGCTTCCTTTTGGTTTGTAGTATAGTGAACCTTTACAGTCTGGAACATTTAGAATATGACTATACTTTCCAGTACCTAACAGGTACTAATTTCCCTGTACACTGAGAATTTATCTATTTAAACAACAAATATGAAAAAGAATAAAGTAAAAAAAAATTTTTTTGGATGTGGTTCTAAGTTTGCTACTTTTTTCTTTCTTAAATACTGTGTTTTGATTGTGATTTATTAGTATCATTTTATGGTATTGGTTATGGTGTGCCTTAAGAAAGTGATGTTCAACAGTTAACTTCAGTATGGAATGTCAGAGTTTACAAACATTTCACTTAACCGATTAAATCTACACCAAGAATCACATGATTATTGTTTTATTTATCATATGAAATTGGTGATAAAATCCCACTTAACGTATTAAAAGGTTAAAGCTTACGGATGAAGCTTGCTCAGGGTTATTCAGCTGAACTCAAGTTGGGAACTTAGATCCCCAATCAAGAGTTTTCTTCACCGCACTGGTTTCCTCTTCTCCTAAGTCAACATTTTGCAGCCAAAGGGGCTGTTGTATTCTTAATATGTCTTTAGTTATGAGGTTATGTGTATTATAAATGATTTGTTACTACAAATTAAAATGCCACTGTGAATTACTTAGTTCAGTTTGTTGGGTTCAAGGTTATCTATGCAAATATGAATTCCAAAAGGACAGGGATTGCATTTCATTTGGGCATTTCTTTCCCCCAGTGCCTAGAACAGTGACTGCAAATAGTACGTGTTCAGTATTTATTTGTTGACTGAGTAATGAGTTTAATGTACTCTTTTGCATTCTAGTATGCTCTCTTAAGTCGAAGAGAAAGGGAATTAGGCCTAACCCACAGTCTTTCTTCACTGTCTTTGGAGTAAGTGCTGTGTAGATTTACTAGTAATAATCATGATGGCTTTGGATTATCATTGGAAAATGGGGGTTTTAAAAAAATGAGTTTCCTCATGGACGTGTGAATGGTGTGAATGAGTATATGAATCTCAGCTGTCACCTGTGTAAAGATGTTTAAATCCAGATGGTTGCAGACTGCTGCATTTCTCTCCGCTGCACTGCCCTTTTCTCTTTGCTGTTAAGTTGTTGGCAATTTCTTAACTTTGTCATTATGTCTAACTCTAGCAGCTCCTCCTTCCCCTTCTAATTTTTTACATTCTAGTCTGGGCTAGAAAACCGGATAATCAAACCTACCATAATTGTTCAGTGAGCTTGAATTGAGGGAAGCCCTGTTGGTAAAAGGCATGGGCTCTGTATTAGGTGGTCTTAGACATCTGTTTGGGATGCTTAGGTGCCTTTCTCAGTTCCCATTCAGGCTAGTCTTTTAAATGGGTGAGATTATGGAATAACAGTCTTCTAGATTTTGTTGTTAGTATAGTATACTATTTATAAAAAGAAGAACTTGAGTTGTTAAAATAATGTAGAGTAACAGAGCTCATGATTTTATTTCTGCTGTCATTTAGACAGTGAACAGCTACTTTTTATTGTCTGTTAAGTCACAGTAGCAGAAAGAGATTGAAATGAGCAAAATTACTTCGTTGTAAAAATGCAAAAAGCATCTCAAGGTAAGAAATTTTGTTTGTGAAAGGTTCTGCTATCATTTAAAAAGGAGGGACCCTTTAGATAAATCAGACCTGAGTTTGAGAATTAAACTCTTATGCCACCTGAAGTCCAGTTCTAAAGAATGATTATGATTCGGATTTATTAAAGGTAATGTGCTTTTTATCATATTTTGCAAATTAATATGAATATTTATGTACAAAGTACTGTTTCGTAAATATTCCCATGTAATTACATTTGCATCACCAAGTATGTGGTAGGGACATTTATGAAAATAAATATTTAGCTAGTAGTTAAAAGTGGAAGCTGGGGACACCTATATAAAAATCAGGCTTGTGTGATCGGACAGTATATGTTGTCCAGTCCATGTTTTGAAATTAATTCCGTGATATTCACTGCTCTCTTATCAGGAAGTGAGACTGAAAAAGAAATTTCTACTCTCTCATGTCCATGTTGATGCAAATTGCACTTTACTCAGTGCCCAGGCAATTGTGTCTTGTAGGCTCTATGGTGTGCTGCTTCAAACCATGATATCATGCTTTCAAAAACTCTCCTACTTATAAATTTTAGTGTCCCCAAAACTTTAGCAATATGTATCTTCATTTTCAGAAAAAGATCTCTAGTAAATTATTCTTGTTTCTTATTTTCCAGGAGTTTCCTAGCCACATAACCTTCAGAACTGAAACAAAACAACATAGTTCCTGGAGCACCTCTTTTTAAGGTACACATAATTTGGCTCTATAGTTTCAGGCCTATTCATTATCTGAAATATTTTTTAATTTCATTGACTTTTGTAGAAAATGGACTTACTTCTGGTTATAATATTAGAGAAACAAGAAATTTTTTTTATTAATTTTATTTTGGTATCATTAATCTACAGTTACATGAAGGACATAATGTTTATTAGGTTCCCCCCTTCACCAAGTCCCCCCCCCACATACCCGTTTGCAGTCACTGTCCATCAACATAGTAAGATGCTATAAAATCACTACTGAGAAACAAGAAATTTTATGCAGTTTGAATTATTTTTACTCTTGAGATTTAATTGGAAAGTAAATGCAAAGAAAATTGTTGGCAGAAATATAAAACCCTCTTGCCAGCACTGCCATATACTTTAAATGTAGACATGAAAACTGACCACTGAAGTTGTCACTAAATATAACTCAGTCAGTAAGTATCTTGGTCATAGAAACTTTTGTAATTTGCCTTTGATTTCCCAGATTGTTCTTGTTAAACTTAGTTTTCAAACTTGTGGAAATATTCAGCATTGTTTTCTGTCATGAGATAAGGTTTCACATCAGATTCCATTTACTACTGGCTGCTTGTGGTCATCTAGACGAAAAAGGTTTCCAGAGTGTTCAGGATTTTACAGTCTGTTATCAGGGCACTGCAAAGTACACTCCCTGTGCTGACACTGCTTGGGGGTGTTTGGCCATTCCCCTCCAGGAGCTGAGAAGTACATCACCATACCATATCTCTGAGGCAGTTGTTAGTTGACAACCCCAAATGAGGAAATTGGAATGAGGAAATTGAAGCATAAGGAAGTTAGAGATGTTGTAGGAAGCTCAGTGAGTGGATTTACACTCATCACACTGAATTTGTATAATGTGTTTCTTTTCCAGAGGACTGAGGAACTATGCTTCAGAATCCCTTCAGTGTTTTAACTCTCAGATTGCTACAAGTGAGGCTTGATCAAATACCATATTACCAGTGCTTTGGGGAAACCAAGGCACTGAGCATTGGGTTGCCAAGAGTTGGACATATAATCACTGTCTGAGTTGAGAGTAGAACTGAAGGCCGTGACTCAGACATTTGATTTGATTTAACATTGTCAGTTGCTACTTAGCAGCAAGACTGGTTTCTTAGAAACTGGATCTTGGCACTGGTGTTTTGCATGAAGATGGTGGTGAATGCAGTCATGTTTCTAGGTAGATGGCACATGGTAACAGACTACAATTTCCCTTTTCTGAAAGGAAAAGCCAGTTAACTGTTAGGCTGAACCACGACCCTTCTTATTCAAGAACACGTTACATGCTCCTGCTCTTAAAAATTTCCAGCAAATCATGAGTGGATACTGATTTCGGTTAGTTTAAAACATTTTTCTATTTTCTTGCAAGTTTAGATTTTAAAAACACTTGTGTATTTACAAAAATAATAACTGTTTGAGTTAGTTATTTTTAAGAGTTTCTCCAAGGGGAGGGAAGAGGGGAACTTGATAAGGTTTCAAAGTTAGAAAAGAAAATAAAAGTTTCCTGCTTGTTAGGCTGTGGAGGTAAAATTTTTTTTCCTTTAGTACTTAGTATGGTGTGATGGTTTTTCTAGGATGAACAATTAATAATGAGTTCTTTTTTAGAAAGTGTTTCTTGGACCACTTCTTTGGAAGTGTAATTGACCCACCTGATGGTTACATTTGTGTGGAAAGAAACTCCTCCATTGTCCACTTGGCCTTGGGCCACATGTGAGCAGGGCAACATTCAGTCACTTATATTGGATGCAAAGATCTTTAAAGCTTCGGTTATTTCCAGACATTATTTTTGGCTGATTTGATTGTCTTGCAAATAAATGATTGTGTCTCCTCAGGACTCCTTGCCCTCTGTCTCTTGAGCACGAAGTACATAGTGGTTTTTTTTTTTTTTCATTTAAATAGCTTGGTCATATTTCTTTTAAAGACCCTTTTATTATTTTTGAAATGATACATGAATCTGCTGTTGGATATTATTTGCTTGACATTTACATTGTCTTTTTGGAAATGATTATGTAGGATGATAGTGATTGCCATGTTTCTGTAGTTGTGGCTTCCCTGTTTAAGTCACAGTAGCAGAAAGACATTGGATAATGTTTGGAGTCAATGAATTGCTGTTTCCAGGGGGCAGGGGATGGCAGATGAAGTTGGGGAGGTGTGGATGGGGAGGTGAGTTCAATTTACAGAAGATATAAACCACGTTGCAACTAGAAAGATGTTATAAAAGAATCTTGGCAATAATAGTTGGATATAGGTGAATGATGTGTATTTTAAGGCTATCATAGGAAAAGTGGTTTATTCCTTAACTCTTTTGTTATTGACAAAGTTTCTCTGAGAGTAGAGACTCAAAAACTAGACACCAGATTAATAGATTTATAGTTTGTCCCTTAAAGATCTCTTCTTGTGTCTTTGAGGAAAAGTTTAACAAATAGATTCTTTCTAGTACTTGAGAATGTACAGTCTGCCATGTAAGTGTTCACATGTGGTAGATGCTTAATGAATTTTTGTTGACTACTAAATGAATATATCCTAAAACTGCTACCAATACTGCTGATGCTTCATCATAGCAAGAAACTTCAGTACTCCTTTGTATCTGTGTAACCATACTACATAAGATTTAATAAAGGACTTGTAAGGGGAGATACTTAGTGAAAGTTTTGTGGCTATCTAAAAAGTTTGTCCAGAATTTGGATGACTTCTTTTCTTTTGTTTGCTTCTTTTTTTTTCCTTTTTAAAAAATATGTCTTGTTTAGAAACTAAAGGGAACAATGTGTTGATTAAACATAAGTATAGATACTTCATTGTAAGTCATATGTTGATCCAGTTTAAAAATTGGCTATTAAAAATGTTTTTCCATAATTGCTAAAGTAGTTATTTCATACTACAGTGATTTAAACAGTCTATTAGTAGAAAATGAATAAGACTACACACTATTGCAAATAGTTCTATAAACTATTTCTGCAAGGTTCTGCTTTCTAGTGTATTAAACAAATCATTCAGACTGCACTCACTAAGGCCCAGTCTTGGTAGATTCACTGCTGAGGAGTATGCTCTTTGTGCCGAATCACTTTTTAGCACATCATGTATAATTTTAGAAAATGCTTCTGTAGAGTTAATGTGGCCATATTCCCCTTCCTCCAACACATTAAAAAGTACTTGACACTTGTAAAATGGAAACTGCCAGCCAAGGTGAGATTCTCTTTGTGAGATTTTTGTGTCACCAAATTTAGGACCCAAGGGGACTTGGAATTAGGAATCTTTTTAAGAGGTAGCCATGACTATCATATTACCACATACCATATCTGTTACAGTGCTCACATATGCTCTGTAAGGTTAGGATTTGAGAAAAAGATGAACATGTTTTCCTGAGATGTTGTCTAAAGCTCTTCAAATAGGAAAAAGCCAGGAGATTGAAGGCCCTTATCTGTGCCAGAGGCTGGGAAATTGCTGTACATCACAGGCTTAACTTCAAAGGTGTTTCCAGCACTGGGCATAACTGAAGAGCCTTTGTGTTTCAAACTTTTCAGCCTAATTTTACTATATGTGAAATACTGTTCTTCAATAAGAAGACTGTAACAAAGCATTTTAATCTCTCTTGAGTCCCTATTTCATGTGGTGGAAACAATCCTTGAAGACAGGTTTAAAGGAAAAGACAAGTTTTCATTTAAGGATTTAGTCTTCAGGACAGAATACTGTTGAACAGCAGGTTCTAAATTTATACAGAAGTAATATCTCCAAAACTCCATGAATCCCCTGAATGTTGCTATGATCTATATAAACAGCAGTAGTGAAAGGCTTTACATTTTCTTTGAATTATGTGGGTAAACAATGTATTTTCTCTCACCCATAACTATGATAGCTGCCTGGCTTCTCTTTGGGAGAGGAGCATCTGTTTGGGTTAAAAATTAGCATCATTGTTTTAGAGCCTTTTGCAGTGAAAAGGGGATTTTCTTTTCCTGCTTTTAGAATATGCACTACTTACTACATTAGTAAGAGCTTGTCTTGTGGGTCACTATATGTGTACTTGAAGCGGCATCCTTGGTCCTTCTACCCATGAGATGACAGTAGGTCCTCCCAGCCCCTCATTGTGACAACCAAATAATGTCTCTGGACATTGTCACATATCTTTGGGGAGCAAAATTGCACCCTCTTTAGAACCACTGCTTTAGATTCTCTTTTCAAGCTTACATAGAGGTGTAAAATTACCAAATGACTAAAAATTAGTAAATGAGTACTGTTGGTTGAATTTTAGTATTGGTCATGCTGGAAATTAAAATTTTGTAATGTACATACAGAGCCTTATTAGGAGGGTTTAGTATTTTTTTATTTTCAGTTCTGAACTACTTGTTTTAACCAGCTGTTATAAAGACATCATTCCTTCAGCTGTCCTTGAGGTTAACATTTTTTGGGGCAGCCTCAAAAGCTTGTTTGTTCCCTGCCCACCTCAACTTCTAGAATACTTAAGGTATTTATGTGTGTGACTGGAAATGCTGGCAGGGGGCCTGTTATAAACAGCATTAGCCAAAAAATATCCCTTTGGGCTCCACCTTTTCTAAATTTAGCTCATTGATTCAGTCTCAGACTTGTAGAGCCTCCCAGGGCAGAGTTGGGTTGCTCCTTCTGGGACGTGGGTAGGCTCTGGAGCAGACACTTGCTTTTGGCTTATTTTTTGACCTGTGACCTGTGGTTGATGTGAAATTGTGAGTACACTGTAAGTGATTTTTTTTGGTTGAAAATGCCAGCAAGACAGAGTTTAGAAAGGGGAGTTAGGTAGGGAATGAGTAAAGTGGGGAAAGGGAAGATTGAGAGAAGTATTTTTATTTTGGCAGCTGAAAGAAATAAAAACAATGAAAGAGGTCATAGCGGACTTAAACAGTTCTGGACTTGTTTCTTGACTCTGGCACCTTCTCTGGCTGTGGCCATTATCTAGATCTTCAGTAGATCTCTGTTAGTAAGTTCAGCTTCCAAAACTAAACAAGGAACAACTGCAGTGTTGAGAAACTGTGTTGAGTAGCTATGTTTATGCCTCTATCCAGTCATATTTCAGCTGAGGTTTTGTTTGTTGTTGGTTTTTTGCATTTTTTATTTTTAACTTTTGCAGGCTTTTCTGCTCTCAGAGAGAATGTGCCAGGACTCTTCCAGTAACTTAATTGCTCTGGTTATTCAGCCCTTTCTAGAGGTCCAGCTTCAATTAAACATCATTTTGCGACTTTAACAAAAATTAAAGTAACAATTACTCTAATAGAATTTCTATTTTTCTATTTAATAGAAATGTTCTATGTTTCTGCTTTAGGAGTTGGCTTTTTCTAGTCTTTGTTGCTACTGGTTATATTTTAGTACGTTTTTGACTTAAACATTTTCAGCTTTTTGAAGGATGACCATGAAAATGAGCAGTGCAGAACTGCCCTGTTTTTGACTTGTGAAGAAATTTAAATGTATTTAGAAATAATTCCTTTGGAACTTAGAAGGTGATGTAAACAAATCTTCTCTGCTCCCCAGACTCCACCCAACCAGGCACACCAGGAAAATTGCGAATCTGAATTCTGTTCCTTTCTTTATCTTCTTCACTTTTGCTTTTAATAGTACAAACACTATAGAATGTTCTTTGCTATTCAGATAACTTCTCAGGATTGTCACATTGATGTGGGTTCCAACAGTTTTTTTATTTTGCGTCTGTAGTTAAATGAGACCGTCTCAAACCTCTTAGGAAAACAAACAAATCTTTTATCATACGGAAGAAGAAACAGCAGAAGTGAGAAATACCTCTCTTTCTTCAGTCAACTTAAAGGAAAGCTCTGAGGGTGCCAATTTGAGCACATGGCCCTTAAGTGGAAGCAGTTTTTACAATTCACCTCTTAATGGCGTTATGAATCTTCTTGTAGTTGGAGACTTGAAACCTTTTACCAAATCCCATTGTCATATGGAACCTCTCCATATTTAAAATATTTGAATAGAAGTTGTAGTTTTTAATTGATATTCAATAGTAAATATTATACCCTACTGGTTTTCTTTATAAAATGAACACGCAGAGCATGCAGGTGTTGTAAGTCATTTAAAAACACTGTGAGAAAGTCACAAAGCCAGGAACCTTAGTGTATACCAAGGAGAAACACATTTCTCATTTCTTGTACATCAACATAGCCACATGCTAAATGGGGCTAGTTTTATTCTTGAGTAGGTGACACCAGTTTTGTCTGAATATCGGCAATTAATATATCTCCTCTATAATTTACCTTTTTCATTTTCTTTCCCTTACAACTTTTAGGTAGAACTTTAGACTTCATAGCACTGAAAGCTGTTTACCTGCAGTTGTTCACTTTTGTTGAAAGTGACCATGTCTCAAGTTCAAGTGCAAGTTCAGGACCCATCTGCAGCTCTCTCAGGGAGCCAAGTACTGAACAAGAACCAGTCTCTTCTCTCACAGCCTTTGATGAGTATTCCTCCTCCTACTAGCTCTCTGCCCTCTGAAAATGCAGGTAGACCTATTCAAAACTCTGCTTTACCCTCTGCATCTGTTACATCCACCAGTGCAGCTGCAGGTAAGCATATGAATCAAGTCTCTTCTGTTTCAAATGTTTTCTCAGCCTTTTTTCTGACCTGATAAGTAGATTGCAGATGTAGGGAGCTCTCACACTTAGGTACAGGAAGCAGAAGAAAGTATTACTGCCCATGCTTCTTTATCCCAGATATGAAACACTTGGTTGTATAATGGATTGATGGAGGCCTGACTTGATTTGTTTCAAAGTGTAAGAAAGAAAATTGAGAACTAAACTGTAAAGCCTAGTCTGTTATAAAGTGGTGGCTGGCAGAAAGAACTGAACAATAAATACCACTTTGGATATTTATTGTTCTATGAGAAAATTCTGCTTTTAAAATTACTTCCCAGAACTGACAAAGAACTCTTGTATGTGTAAGCTCCCTTTTTTGTATGTCCATAAGAATTTTATCCCAAGCAAGGGGGCAGCCAGATTTACTGGAAAGCAGAAGAATGCATTGGCATTTGTTAATTTTTATTTTGAGCAAGTAAGTTTAAGTTGAGGAGATTCCAGAGGCAGTTTAGAAATCATAGTAAGGACCAATTAGAAACCTAACAAGAAAGCAGAGATTTTAAAAAGGAAATAGGTTTAGAAACATTCAAATCTGATTACTCAAAAATAAAAATGAACAATATATGCTCATTGATTAGAAAAGACTCGCAACACTAAAAACAATACTCTGCTCCTCAAGACCCCCCCCAAAAGTGGCAAAAGCAGCTAAATAGGTATCTCCATACCAGAGTCACCTTATGCTGAATTCTTTTCAACCCCTCATGCCTGACAATTTCCCTTGCATTTCTTTCGATCCTCTCATTTCCTTTACTTGGTTAGTCTGTTCTTAAGAGTGTTAGCTTGGTCCATTCAGCTGTTAAGAGTGTTAGCTTGGTCCATTCAGCTGCGTGGCCTCTATCACGCCACCTCTAGACTTCCTCGAACTGGCTCACCAGATCATATTCTTGACTTTCCTAGTACTTTAGAGATTCAGTTTTCCCCAGATTTGCCTTTTGAGACCGTCTAAAGAGGAAACATCACAAGACTATTTCAGTCCCCTGTGATTTATTGCTTCTTCTTCTAATGTCTTCTTATATCCACATCCTATTGACTTTTAAAACTCTGCCCACCAAGGCTATTTTATTTTACTCATATAATTGACAGAAATGATAAGGTCTGGGGATGGTAGCCTTTGGAGGTAAGACTAGGAGACGCCACAGGAATGGGAAGTTAGTTGTGTGGAAAACGACGGTCATTGTTTGAGAAATGGTGTTGGCATGTTGAGTTTTGTGAAATAACCAACAGGGCACAGCTGACAGCTGTTGCAGTAACCAGTGTGTCTGCTCAAAAGAACTCCTTGGTTTTCTCTTGGTTGGTTATAATAGCAATGCTTCATCTGATTTCCAGTCTTGCTCGCCTGCCATGGCTTACCTACTACCCTGACTTCTGTTCTGTCTCTTTAGAAGACATACCTCCTCCTAGGTTACCTGGCTTCAGCTACCTCAGAAAAGATCCCCGCCGTGTCTTCAGGCCTGTGCCCACAGTGTGGTTTGCAGTTTTGCATCACTCTGACTCTAAATTCTTAGACCTTCAGTTTGTTGTCCCTCTTCTGTCATGTCCAGGGGAGAGTAGTGATCTTATTTATGTACTGCTAGTTGAGTTCAGTGCTCTTACATTATTTTCAGTTCCTTCTAACATGGCACATGCCAAAGAGAAAACCCCAGTATGTCTTGTGAATGAGTTTGCCCGTTTCAGCAAGATTCAGCCTGATTATAAGCTTTTAAGTGAGCAAGGCCCAGCTCACTGTAAGGTAAATAATGTCCATACTGCTTGTGCATTTTTAACCCCTCAGGAGTGTGTTCTTTTTTATACTGTTGCAAGTGGTGCTCTGATTCAAAATACTTACTTCCAAACTGCTGTGAGTAAGTCTTAAGAAGATGCAAAAAGTATAGATTTTTGGTGAGTCACTTCATTTTTCATCCTTTTAGAGTGGGTCAAAAAGAGATAGACTTCTTGAGAAAGGGGAACCCTTCTACACTGCTGGTAGGGATGTAAGCTAGCTCAAGCATTGTGGAAAGCAATATGGAGGTTCCTCAAAAAACTAAAAATTGAAATACCATTTTACCTGGGAATTCCACTCCTAGGAATTTACCCAAAGAAA